AAATGCCACAATAATGAAAAGACAAAAATTTTAAACAAAATTCTCTCAATAGAGGATAAAGTAAGGAATATTTTCCTCTGATGTCCTGTAATAAATGTGCATGGAAATATAATCAATTGACCCTGGTATAATCATGATTATATTGTGTTTTTTAATGTGTTCCAATGTTTTTTATCTATGCACCCCCCCAAAAGAGCTATTTAAATTGAGCAAAGAAATGTATCACATATGAGCTCAAAAGTATACACATGCATAAAATGTTTTCTGTTGATAAGTAATAAATCTGTTGAATGAACATTCCAAAAGGCAGAGAGTTTTTGTGAAGCTAGGAAACAATTAAAAACCACCATCTAACATAATGGGTGGCAGTTGCACGGATAACTCCCCCAGGTATTCCATGTCCATTCAGTAGCAGAAAAGCAAATACACACACACACCCACACACACACACACACACACACACAGGATACATCTTGTTTTCTGGACCCTTCATCCAAAAGAAACCAAAGCAAATTACAGTATTTCCAATTAAATTTGGAATCCAGTCAACCCTCTGTTTAAAATTCTGAAATAATATTGGTAAAATAGGCAGAATCACAGACTCCTATCTGCTAGCTTTCCAATGGCATGTGGTTCTTCTGTTCCTATGCAAAGAAGGGATTTATTTCTAGTAAATAAACTATTTCATGGGAAAAAATAAACACAATTTCTTAAAAGATAAGAATATTGCATCGTAGGAGACAAAGAAAAAAAGCAGTGTGTTTATATCATATGTTTTAAAGTAGTTTCTTTTTATATTAGCAATTTATTATCAAAAACAGGAAAATAACACATTCATAAAATCTTGAAAAGCCATCTTCTGAGAAAGAATGATGTTTGACAAATATAAAATTTAAAAAACGATGATGTTTTCTTTTGTAAATTTTACTCAAGGTAAACTTCAGAAATGAGAGGGACTCAGTAGCACCAAGAGAAATGTAGGACCCAAAGAAAAATCTTAACAAAAATTCCTGCCCATTTTTCTTCTTAGTTTTATTGAATAAACAAATCCACTGGTGGAATAATAAGCTGAATATTAATGCTTCCTCCTTTAGTCTGCCTAGTTTAGGAGTAAGCAAACAAACATACCCCCACTAAGTGTTAGAAAATCTCTGGGCCTCGATCTTTTAAGGAAATGGTTCTCAACTTAGATAAAACACCCCCTAACAGCCACTCTTTCATGACCTCCTTTGGAATACTCTTAAAGGTATCCTGCTCACAAAATTAATTCCATGGTTCCTCGAAAAGTTTAACTTATGACTCAGCAATTGCACTCCCTAGGGATATGCCCCAGAGAATTGAAAACAGGATTTGAAACAAACATTTGTACATGAATGATCATAATAGCACTATTCGAAAGTGTCAAAAGATGGAAACAACCCAAATACCCATCAACAAATGATGGATAAACAAAATGTGGTATATCCATACAATTATTCAGCTGTAGAAAGTAATGAAATACTGATACACAACATGGATGAATTCTGAAAGCACTATGCTAAGGGAAGAAGTCAGACACAGAAGACCACATATTGAATGATTTCTTTCAAATTAAATACACAGAATAGTCAAATCCACAGAGACAGAAAACAGTTCAGTGGTTGCCAGGGGCTGAGGAGAGGAAGGAACTGGTGACAGACTGCTTAAAAGATATGAGGGTTCCTTTTAAGGTAATGAAAATTTTCTGGGCTGGGCACCATGGCTCATGGCTATCTAATCCCAGCACTTGAGGAGGCCGAAGTGGAAGGACTACTTGCTTAAGCCCAGGAGTTTGAGACCAACCTGCAAAAATTTTAAAATGTAGCCAGGCCTGGTGGCACCAAAATGCGGTATGAGGACAACTGGTGGTACATGAAACCACTTTAAGTGGTATAGAGCAAACATTAATTTTTTTTACTATCATGTCAAATTTGTAATTTTGGAAGGGAAAACTAATTTTGTTTTAAAATAAATTTATTTAGGTAAAAATTGTATTTGACTTAAAGAAAACAATTAAGCAGGCTAGGTGTGGTGGCCCATGCCCGTAATCCCAGCACTTTGGGAGGCCAAGCTCGGAGGGTTGTTTGAATTCAGAAGTTCAAGACCAACCTGAGCAATATAGCAAGACCCCATCTCCACAAAAATGAAAATAAAAAAACAGCCAGGTATGGAAGCATGCACCTGTGGTCCAGCTACTTGGGAAGCTGAGGAGACAGAATTGCTTGAGCCCAGGAGGTCAAGGCTGCAGTGTACCATGATCGTGCTACTACACTGCAGCCTGGGTGACAGAGTGCGACCCTGTCTCAAAAAAAAAAAAAATGTTCTGTACCAACATCGGGACTGATGGTTGCACCAAATTGTGCACGTACTAAAAGCCACTGAATTGTATACTTCATAATGCTTAAAATGGTGAATTTTATGTGTAAATTTTACCTCAAGTCAAAAAAAAAAAAAAACTAATCCCAGCACGTATGACCTGGCCTAGAGCCTTGAGGGTTGATGTGCCTGGCACACATGAACTAAGGACCCTAGCAGGTAAGACTCCTTGCATCACTCCTACAAGGTGCACTGTAGGTCTTTAAGTTGGGTAAAGTTTCTGCAGTAGTGCCTCAATGCTCAAGTTTACTCTTTTAAAATTTGGCAGTTCTGGACCTTAAAAAATCCAGGCATTTTTAAGAAATCTGGATTTTAGACTATTCTTTCCAAGTTCAGGACCTACTTTTAGCTCTTTGACCATTATATAAAAAAAAAAAAAAAAAAAAAAAAAATTTAAGAGAAAACGGTCAATGACTTCCTTCCAGAGTATCCATCTAACCAGTTTCCTGGAAGACTTTTAGTTTACATCTATCGCCTTACTGTAATTATTAATAGTGTTCCTATCACTCTCAAGTATCTCAGTCTGGATGATCAATTATACAGTCTCCCTACTTCGAGGGGACCACTGTAAAGCTTCCCTATCTCTTCTATCCAACAGAAATCTTATCTGTGCCAGCTTTGATCCAGTTCTCTGGCAAGCTAGATGGGATTTGTCTTAATATGTGCATTCTGTTTGCCAAGGCATACATAGCATGTTTGGACACATGGTCTTATTTTATCATCTTTTGCTCTTATTTATTCTTCATACTCTATGGTAGAGCTAATCATTTGTGGGAATCAAAATGTTAGGAATAGATGGCATGTCAAATGTTGTTATAGCAGACTTTTCCGTAGGACATATTTTTTAAAATAATCCAAAAAGAAAATGTTTTAAACTTAATTTGAGTAGCCCCTGGTGTTATTCAATGGTAGTGTGTAAAGTAAATCTGGGTGAAATTTCACTCACATCCACTTTCTGGGATCAAGTTCTATAGGTAATTCCATAGTTATGCTTATGAACATCCCTCTAGGTAGAAAGCAGTCATTCTTTTTTTTTAAACCTACACATAGTCTCAAAACTTACCTTCATACAAGATAATATCAGAGAAGTAAGTGGGCTGAGAAGCCTAAAATGGACTGAGAGGTTTTCAAAATAGATTGCCATCGAACACATCAAATTTAATACATTTCTCTTAAGTAGCACTGTCTGCTTCTAATCTCTGACATCTAGAAATTGCTTACTTCTAGAAATTTGGTGGCATAATGGTGGCATACTTCAGGATTTGACCATCAAAGTCATCCCAGGCAAAAATTACTCAGGCAATGCTTTAGTTAGGCTACTTTGATTACAACAGAGGCTCACATGGGCTGTCTTAGAAGAAGTTTACTGTGAAATTACCCATAGGCTTAAGGACCCACTTACTGGCTGCAGCAGCCTCTCCCAGAATAGGTGATCATAATTACTGCCCTCCTTTGCTTATTCAAAATGTATGCATCCTCGAAACTTTGGTTTCCGATGGCTCACCATGGTGCCAGCTTTACACCATAGCTTCCTCTCAGCTTCAGCTCCTACTTCTTTCCATTTAGTTCAAACAAGTAAAGGAGAATCTGATTGGTCCAACTCATCCCATCTCTGTGGAACAGCTGCCCTTGCTTCAGATTTGTCATCCCTTTTCCATCCCCACAACCAAGATAAACTGTTTTGGCCAAAGAAGAAAGGCTGGTCATGTAAATACAGTTACAATCCCCGCCACCTCCCTATCCTCACAGATTTTAAGTAAGATAAACTTCAAAACTGAGAAGGCCTTAGTAGCACCAAGAGAAGTGTAGGACCCAGACAAAATACTTAACCAAAAGTTCCTACCAAATTTCCTACTTTGTTTTATTGAATAAATAAACCCATTGGTGGAGTTAGGGTTCAGAATGGGAGATTCGGCATGCCTAGCGGGACAATTATGCCTTCGTATTTTCCTCTCACTCATTTCAGTCCATCAACATGAAAAAGTAGTTCTGTAAAACTGCCTTCCATTCCAGTGCAATTCCAACTTCAACCTTCCCTGAATCTCATTCTCCTTAACAATTACTTTTCAACAGATATCAAATATTTCCAACATAAATTGTTAACGGTGACAACATGATGCTACTTCCAGGAGATTAGGAGATTAATCTCTTCTCCTGTTTTTCAGACCTTCATCTTCCAAAATGTTTACTGGGAACATAGAAAGAGAACAAAAGATAGCCCAAACATACATCTTAATGACAGGTGTGCCTTTATCTTCCGGACTCACTCTAACGCTTCCCTGCGCGTATTACACATCAGTCTCCAGAACCTTCGCTGCTGGCATGATTGCATTTAAGTTAGCAACTAACAGTTATGCCAACATAGTGGGAACATATCTGTACTATTAGAGACACATTTAGGAAGAGGAATTTCTGCCAAGCACCCCAATTACATCATCTTTTTATTTACTAGGTCAGCTCAGGATTTTCTTTCTTTTCCATTTAATTCAAATCAATGCCTAATCAAAACACATTATGATTTATGTATATATTTCCATGACACTGCTTCAAAGCACAAAGCTCATGTAATAAAGTCTGATTTTTGAAAGTGTTTTTAAATTACATACACGAAAGTACATTTGAAAGTCCTTTCTGCAGAAATGAAGGCCAACCAGCTGGGGATAAAACATTGTAGATCTTCGCTGCACAGTGAGAACAGCAGTTTCTACAAAATGTTTAAAGTTGAATAACTTACTAAATGACTGCATAGCACAATATAGTACTATAGAAAATGTATTTCTTTAATAAAAGCTGTCTCCTTGCCCTCCAAGTGCCTATAATAGGTTGATGAGTTCCTCGATATTTTCATCCTCGGTCCGTTTCTGAAGTTTTCAATTGAATAACTTTTTCAGACTTGGGGAAAATAGTAAGTGAACAGCCCTAGAGTGCTTCTCTGGGCAGAAAAAAAAAATCCCACGAAATGTAATGTGTTAAGAAAATATCTTTCTTATCTCTCTCGTCCCCCAAGCGAGCCTGTCGAATTCTCCCATTTGTCTGTGTCAGGATCATGCCAGCAGCCAAGGTTCAGGAGACTGATGTGTAATACGTGCAGGGAAGCGTCAGAGTGACTGCGAAAGATAAAGGCACACCGATCATTAGAGATGTATGTTTGGGCTATCTTTTGTTCTCTTTCTGTGTTCCCAGTAAACATCATTTTGGAAGATGAAGGTATGAGAAACAGGAGCAGAGATTAAAAGATATCAGGCAAGGGAAAGCAGGGGAAGCAGATAAACAGCCTGACATCCCAGAGGTGGGGATTTTCCCTTTTCTGGGAAGCAAAAAAAGTATCTTCTCAAGCAAATTTAACACCTTCATACATATGATTAATTTATTATCACTTAAAATGAAACATAGCAATAAAAAATTCAGGCTAATTGTGTGCAAAACTTACTGTTTTCAGACACAGACCGTGCAAACAGTCCTCAAGCGTATAATAGTAAATTACATTCTGGAACATGAACTATCAAGTAAAATTACTGAATCTTGATTTTTTAATGTTGTAAAAGAGGTGTGGGGGGGGCAGATCTGTATGTTCTTTCTTAAAGCCTAACATTTAATATTTTGTAGGCAAAGCAGAAAAAGGACATTTAGTACGTCCCAAAACGTCTGTTTTAAACTTGTATAGATTAAAACCTTCTAAAATATGTTGAAATTGAGCAGCACCAAGTATGAAACCCAGCTCTAGCTCTATAATTTTTCTAGCTAAGTGACCTCAGGCAAGTTATCCTCTCAGACTCAGTTTGTTCCATATAACAATGGAACAATAATGACACCTATCTCACGGGATATTGTAAGAGTTAAATTAGATAACCTATGTAAAGCACTCAGCAATGCCCAGAAAAGTGTGTGCACTCAAAAAAGATTCATTGTTGTCAGTATTATGTGTAATTATTAATAACCAAGCTCATGTCTTGCCACTCATCTTGAAAACTGCCCTAGTTCATCCAACCACAGTGCAGCCCATAAGTCTCAGACAAAAACACCAGACAATGTCATTTTATAGAATTCTATACATTTATTCCTGACATAGTTCTAATTCAGTCACTCATCCACCTAACTTTAATCATGCAGCCAGCTTCCAACAATTCCCTTGTGTCCTCTTTTATTTATTTGTTTTTATTTATTATTACTTTTTTATAGATAAGGTATCACTATGTCGCCCAGGCTGGTTTTGAACTTCTTGGTTCAAACAATTCTCCTACCTCAGCCTCCAGAATAGCTGTAACTACAAGTGCATGTCACCACACCTGGCTTTATGTGTCCTCTTTACCTCCAACCCCCGTCTGGCCTCCATCACTTCATTGGGACCTGCTCAAGCTAGTTGTGGTCACAGCACTAGCTCCACTGCCTCAGTGAAAGGATTAAATCACCTTAATAAATCACCTAAAATTACTTAGTACAATCCAGCATAAATGTATAAAATGTAACATCTTCATAATTTCCCCTTATTTCAGTCGAATCTTGATTCTTCCCTTACTCCTCTCCCACCAAAAACTGCTCCTTCCTGACACCTCCTCATCTCAGTAAAAAGCACCTCTACCACTTCCCCAGAATTCTTAATGTTGATTCTTCTCTTTTCTTACTCCCTAAATGCAATCCATTGGAAAGTTCTATAGCCTCAACTTTAAAATACCTCCTGAATCCTTCCCCTTTTATCTCCATTGCTGACACCTTTGTCCTTTGTAGAATCGGCATCAGCGCAACCTGTGAACATGGGTGCCCTCCTACTTGTACTGAATCAGACCCCAGGGAGGAGAAGCAGGACCATCATTTTGTGTTCAGCAGCCCCTGCCAGTGATTCCCATGAACACTTCCATTTGAGAACCACTGCTCCCATCAAAACCACTGCCACCTCTCCCATGGGGAATATCACAATAGCCTTCTGACTCATCTCCCTGACCCCACTCTTTTGCTCCCAGGCAATCCATTTTCCAAACAGCCACAAGAATAACTTTTTTTTTACTTCAAATCCTCCAATGACTTCCTATGTCCAGTAAACTAAAATCCATTTTTCTTATTCTGGCTTACAAATCCCTTCATGAGCCGACTACGTCCTACTTGCTCAACTGCATCTCTCTCCAGCATCTTTTATAAGCTGCTGACGCTGGTCTTCTCTTTCTATCACTTGAACATACCATTCTGGTTTCTACTACAGGGCCTTTGTAAACACCTGCTCTTCTGCTGGGATCATTCTTGTCACTGGGGTCCCAGATTCAATGTTTGCTCCTCAGAGAGGTCTTCCCGTTATGCTATTTAATTAGCAGCTTCTGGGATCCAATAATTAGTCACAATCAGATAGCCAATATTCATTTTCCATGTATCACTTACTGTGATCTCATAGCTTTCTTATTTGCTAATGTGAGAATCTGTTATCTTTCTTCTACTAGAATAGTCCAAGAGTAAGGACCTTGTTCATTGTATTCACCCTTATTCACTCAGAACTACAACATGGCCGGGCATGGTGGCTCACGCCTGTAATCCCAGCACTTTGGGAGGCCAAGGCAGGCAGATCATCCGAGATCAGGAGTTTGAGACCAACCTGGCCAACATGGTGAAACCCCATCTCTACTGAAAATACAAAAATTAGCCAGGAGTGGTGGCAGGAGTGGTGGTAGACGCCTGTAATACTGGCTACTTGCAAGGCTGAGGCAGGAGAATCGCTTGAATCCAGGAGGCAGAGGTTACAGTGAGATAGGGCCACTGCACTCCAGCCTGGGCAACAAGAGTGAGACTCCATCTCAAAAAAAAAAACAGAATCTACAACCATCACTGGCATATGTAGCAAATTTTAAGAAATATTGCTACTTAATAATAATACATTATTTATTGAAATGATTCATTAATTGAAACAAAGCAGCAGAGGAAGAAATATTTTCAGCAGTTTCAGGGAATCTGGAAAGTCCTCTTTAAGAAGATTGTATCCAGTTACTCTGAAAGGAGGCAGAGTAAGACAATGGATTAAAACTAAGCTTGTAATCAGATCCAGCAGGGTTCAAATCCTAGGTCTACCTCTTACAACATACAGAAAGTATCTCTTTTTTTAAAACTTGTTCAACTTCTAAAGCAATTGTGTAGTCTTTTATTTTTTCTTCGTTTGTTTTGTTTTTGAGGCAAGGTCTTGCTCTGTCAACCAGGCTGGAGTTGGTGGCACGATCACTGCTCACTGCAGCCCTGGCCTCCCAGATTCAAGCAATTATCCCCCTCAGCCCCCTAAGTACCTGAGACTACAGATGTGTGCTACTGTACCCAGCTAAGGTTTTATGTTTTGTAGAGACGAGATCTCACTCTGTGGCCCAGGCTTGTCTCAAATTCCTGGACTCAAGGGTTCCTTCTGCCTCCTGCTCAACAGCTTCCTCTCAGAGTCATCATTGGAATTAACTAAAATGATGTAACAGGGAACATCACACACAGTATATCTACTCTGTAAATTATACCTTGAAACTTTAAAGAAGATTTGGAGATCCTTGAAAAATACGTGTGGCATATGACAATGTAAATGTAAATCGAAAAAAAAATAAAGAAAAAATTCACCCTATAATTTGTTTCCTTCAAAGAAAAAACCATTTCACCTTGTCATTTCCCTTTCACATATACATACAATTTTTTTACATAATGAAATTCTTAAAGTGGGTTCAATTTTGCAATTTCTTGCCTTTTTGAAAACCCAATTCAAAATGTCTCCTTTTCTGTCTCTCTCTTTTTTTTCCTCAAGCAGACGAAGTGATCAAGTTGCTGCTCTCTCCTGCCTTTGAAGCCAAAAGCCTTATCACCTTCTTCTTCTGCTCTCTACATTAGCAATTTCATCTTGCACTCTGATATTATGAATGTCATGCCTTTAAAATGCATGAACCAACCCTTATTTGCACTAAAAATTCCAAGCCTTTGATCATTCCTCATGCTTTTGTCTCAAAAATAACTGCTCCAGGTTTTGAGTTGAATAGTGGTCAACTCAAAAGCCCACATCTCTGCGTTTGATCACGAATCTACAAAATTAAAAGCCTTTGTTCTCATTGGAGCAATGCTGGTAACAGGAAAAGGAGTAAATCCTGGAGGCAGATGGAAGTTGGGAGTCACAGAAATATAAGGAGTATTATCGTTCAGGAGACAGCCCGAATTACGTAAGTTGTTGGAGTGCATGTGGCCATTCTGAGTGTTGCAAAAAGATGACACAAGTGTAATAAGGAAAGTGTTGTAAATTAATAGATTCTGAAAAGTAAATAGGGAAAAGTGAAAGTCTCCAAGTTCACCATCTATCCAAGTAACACTAATAGAATGCATACTATATGCCATGCAATGTGATAAATTCTGGGAAGGTAATAATGATCAAAAATAAATAAATGAGCCAGGCAAGGTAGCTCATCCCTGTCATTTCCAGAGCTTTGGGAGGCTAAGGTGAGGGGATTGCTTGAGGCCAGGAGTTCGAGACCATCTGGGCAACATGATGAGACCCTATCTCTACAAAAATTTTAAAAACTAGCTAGGTAGGGTGGTGGACACTGATAGGCCCAGCTACTCAGAAGGCTGAGGTGGGAGGATCACTTGAACTTAGGAGTTTGAGGTTACAGTAGCTATAATTGCACCACTGCACTCCAGCCTGGGAGACAAAGTGAGACTGT